ATTCTATTCTATTCTATTCTATTCTATTCTATTCTATTCTATTCTGTCTAATGGGGCAAGTGGGACATTGGCTAACAGTCTTCACAATTTTAGATCAGCTTTAATGCTGCAATCCTAAATGTTAAAATAGAATTAAGTTGACTTTGCGTTGTGTTTCTCTTTTCTTTCAGCTCTCTTTCACTTCCTAGATTTTGAAAGAGAAAAATGAGAATCATCTCAAAAATGCAAACTGAGGACAAATTGCAATGGCTAAATTTGCAGTTGACACAGCCTAAACAGGGAAATGAAGACTCCTTATTTATAAAGATGAAAAATTTTGTTTTGTTCACCTGTGAGTAGCACATGGTACTGGAATACGCGCTGCACCACTTTCAAGAGCTGGTGTTTCACATTCCAGGGACTGCCATCACGAACCTGCTGTCCTCAAGAAAAGGGAAGAAAAAGTGTAAAAGTCAGAGCTCCAACAATTTGAAAATCATCTCTGAGCCTGGCCTTGTTTTACATGAAGGTAGTAGTCACTTCACAAAGTTTCGCATGCTTGGAATAGCATATCCAAGTATTGTCTAACAATTAGGCAGTGACACATTTTACGATTGAAGTGGGTTAATAATCCTGAAATTAAAAGTCAAAAGTCTTAATTAGGTTGAAGCTAGAGGTTATCCTCCAAGGGGATTCTGAACCTTGTCTAAACCACATAGTGTTTTTATATTATTGCTTATTCACTGATGCTAGTTGGACAGATCTTGACCCAGGCAGGATTGGCATTGACATCTCAGGCCTAATATAAATTAATAGAAATAAATTTCCACTAGAACTAGACATTACTGTTGCACTCTCTCTACTAGGCAAGAATTCCTCAACTTAAACTGTATTATAGAAGTTTTGACGCAGGCTCAGTAGTTTATCAGAGAACTATTGGAGGAATGGATGTGACTTCATTGCTACTTGGGAAAGCATGACCCACTGATCTCAACTCTACGCTCGTCTATTTTGACCAGATCACAAATAGCATTTAAAAAGCCTAGATGTTTCTACTTCTTTATAAATGCAGCAAGGATCAGAGAGGTAAAGGCTGAACAGGAAGCAGATTGCTCTTTTCCTTTTAATATATCATTTTTGGCAGCAATTTAAGGCCCATTAGCAAAAGAAAACTGTTTCATCTTCCAAAACAGAAGCTCTGAATTTAAATAGCAACATGGAAAAATACACACAGACTTAGCTGAAAAAACAATGAGGGTCACCATCTTTTGATTCACACAATTCCAAACAGTTTATCACAAAACACTCAGGGGTGAGGGGTGTCGCATAAGTTATCCCTATCAGGGACACTGTAGTGACGTCAAGCACCAGTTATGGATTGTTGTATTTCTAGCTAGTTTCTCTGGTCTCTTCAAGACAATCAAATTTTCTTACCCTTCTCAATCCAGCTCCAAATTCACCCTGGATTGATCTTGGAAATACTGACTATTTGCATATCTATTCAGACATCAAGAAATGAAGGCCATTTGCAAATAATACCATATTAAGGTAAGGCAAATACCATGTTAATTTGCAAGTCTAGAGAATTGTCAATCAGTCAGTACTTGCCCTTTCTGGCCAGTCAGGGCTTTGTTAGTTTAGTCACCGAATGCCCCTGTGTATGACCTCTGCTTTTACAATGCCTGTATTTAGAAGGAACTCCAGTTCCATTTAGCAAAAATTAATTACGAGTATCTCTCTCTTTTGCCTTCCTTGAATTTTTATGTTTTTATAATGCTGGGGCAGGAAATACAGGAGGCAGCTGTGTGAGAGAAATTAGATGGTTAATGAATAGGAAAAATGAATTAAAAGACTTCAGGACCTGATGATGTTACCTAGTTGGGTAATGAAAAGTCTGCATGAAAACAGCCAAGCTCCAAGAATCCCACAAAGTAAGCTGAGCCAACTGTTTCCTCTTCTTTCCCCTTCTTCTCCCATGTCTAATTTTACACTGTAACATTCCCAGGGGTAGGAAGCCTTGTCAACAATGCAATGATGGTAAGCTACAAGGCCCTCCCAAAGGGACGGATCTCTAGAGATATAATTACCTTGGTTTCTAAGGGAAAAACTGCTGTCTGTACCATCTTGAACAACTATATTCTTGATTTTTAACTATATCACAAGGGGAACAAATGTGGTTTTTTTTTTTATCATAACGCACAGAACAACAATTCATAAAGCTTGATCAGAAAATACATTCATAATGACTCATTTTCAGTTTTGATCAGAATCAATTTTAGAAATGATTTTCTTCATTTTCTCTCCTTCATTTGCTGTAATCCCTTGAATTTACTCATATTGGGATACCATTCTGCCTGAGAAGATCATGAGAAATCTCTTTTTTTTTTTCAATCTCTATTCAATGTCTTTCTCACACACATACTACACAAGCCTTCTGAGCTCAAATTTATGGCTCTAATAAAAATTCCATTAACTCCAAGTGAAGGGCAGTGTATAAGGCTAAGACAAAAACATTAGTGTCACAACCCTTGTCCCTTATTTAATAGGGACCACAATGAAATATATCTCTATCCTGTTTCTTGGCTCTTTGCAGGGGAGATGATGAACAGCACAGAATAAAAACCACTGATATTTACACATAAAAGCATCTTCAGAAGTGTTCATAATATCAGCAGTCAAGTTTGTACATTCCTCCGAAAAAAGCTAAGCTTAAAAAAGACCAAAACTCTTTTGGAGAACAGATCAGACACCAACTTCTGAGATATTTTTCAGATATGCAAATAGTTAGAACTGGATAAGCAAGACCTCTCATGACTGCTTCTCAACACTATGGCAACCTAGGAATGCGGTACAATCCCAGACTGGTGCAATCTATGTGTGCAGAAGAAGATTGAACATGGGGGAAATGCTCTGGATACATAAACTCGGGAGGGATGGTGGCAGAGATTTGGGGACATCTCACCACAGTGCTTTGGAGTTGTTGGGACAGAGGAGAGAGGGATGTTGGCAAAGTACCGTGACACCTTAGCTATAAGAAAATAGAAACATTAAATTGGTAGTAGGACAAAGGAGGAGTTTCTATCGATGGAAAGGTACCCATTCTACAGTTTCAAAGGATTTTGAGGAAATGCTGCTGAGACAGTATTTCTGGAGCATCAAGGAAACTCATATGAACTGCAAACACTTATGGCATTGTAGAACCACAAGGCCATAACATTGCTTTGCCTATTACTTATGTGAGCATTGGAAATGCCTTAGGATATGTGCTTAGGGAATTCAAGGGAGCCCCTTCACATAAATAATATAGATCCAATGCCTGCTAAATCCATCAGTCATATATCCTGATTGAGAGTAGGGTCCCAGTTCTGAGGTATGTGTAGAAAATATTTTCTTCTCAAGGGGCGTTATGGAAGAGTTACACCATTTTCATTGGTTAAGGAAGCAAGGTACAAGTTTCTGTGTCCAGTCATGTCCAATTCTAGGACATGGTGTTCGTGTCCATTTCTTAGCCAAGTGAGCCAGTGTTGTCTGAAGACATTTTTTGTGGTCCTGTGGCCAGCATGACTATACACCAGAGGCACACAGAATGCTGTTTTTCTTTTATGTACACTGAGAGCATTTGCACCAAAAGAAATTTCTTGTGTGTCCAATCACACTTGTCCAATAAAGAATTCTATTCTATTCTATTTGTTGCTTTCCCACTAAAGTGATACCTATTAAATTTACTTGCATTTTGCATGCTTTTGAACTGCTAGGTGAGCAGGAGCTAGGACAGGAATGGGAGCTCACCCTGTTGCACAGTGCTCAAGTTTCGAACCCGGGCTGTCAGTTTTCCAGCTGACAAGCTCAGTGTCTTTAACCGCTGAGCCATTGTGCCCCTAAGTAAGGAATTAATTAAGGAAGCAACCTTAATTATATATTCCTTCTTCCAATCACTATTTAGTTGAATTTTAAAAAAATACAAATAATTTTCCACTATCCCTCACAAAATATCTGCTTTCAAGATTTCCTGGGGTGTAGTCATAAGTAGTATACCAGCTGAAAATGCCATATATATGCTAGAACAGCAGACACATATGCTTTAGTGAACATTTGCTTATACTTTTTCCTTTTCTTGGGCCAGGAAAAAAAAATTGATAAAAGTTTTGTCTTCATTCTATGGCATCAAGAAAGTGCAGTCCACAAGGCAATAGAGTTCTAGATAATTAAAAAAACAATTGTTTCAGATTAAATATCTGCATTTTCATCAAGGATTCCATGGAATTTTCACACATATAAATATATTCAATGAATGTTGATAAATGGTTGTTTTAATGAATTATCATTATTAGTATTTCATATATGCTGCAGAGGGAGACATATTCCATATTTCAAGCAGCTTGGACAGCCAAAGCAACACTGAAAATACAGAAGCCAATTTATTCTCATAACCTTTTTTGTCTGTTAAGTAAACGTTGCCCCTTCTCATCTCTTCTTTACAAATAAAAAAGTGATATATATTCATACTAAAATTAGACATACATTTGCACTGTTAGAAGTCACACCAGGCATCCAACAAGAAGCAGAAAGAGCAGTTGAAGTATGTGCCATTTCCCCCAGGAGTGGGATTCAACCGGTGTTACTACCGGTTCGGTGATTATGTTTTGCGTGTGCATGCATGCTTTGCACACCAGACACACGCTGCACATGCATGTAATACACCTAAAGCTGTGCCGCCCGGATAGCTGGTAAGCACTGCGCATGGGTGCGCAGCACTTGAAAAGCCTCTTTTTTCCTGCTTTTTCAACCTCAGCTGTGCCGTGCAAAGCAGCTGAGGTTGAAAAAGTAAGAAATAAAAGGAGCCCGGGTAAGAGCCCAGGCGACTGGGTAGGCCAAACAGCAGCAGACACAGAACCGGTTCTGTGTCTGCTGCTCTTCAGAGCTACCGGTTCTATAAAGCCAGACAGAATCGGTAGCATCCCACCCTAAACTAGGATTGGAGTTAATTCACAAATGAAACCATTCAACTGTTGAGGTGAAGCTTTATGCCAGTAGGTCATTCATGTGTGTGTTTGGAATTTATTTAAGGATGGTCCTGACAGGTTCTAAACCTTGCCTATAGCCCCAGTCAAAGATTTGCTTCAGAAAATACCAGGAAAAGGAGAAGGCAAGAATTATGGGCTAAATTGCATTTAAAAAGTTGTAAAATATTGATCCAATGCAGAAGGTAAGGGATACATGAAGATGCCAGCAAAACATTTTGAGCTGGACCTAAACATGAGAGAGATGTGTTCAGATCAGTATTCTGATGTAAACTGAGCATCCATAATTTAACATTCTGTTACTTATGGAAATAAATAAGATGTAAACATTTTTGCATTAATACTTTTTGAATGGAAGAAAAAGAGAAGCAGAAACATGCAACGCATATAGCAAAAAAATGGGAGATGATGAACAATCTACTGTATATATCAATTATCACAAATGGAGAACCCAGAGAGTAAATAACTACTGAATTAGAATTCTTGTTATTCCCTTCTCCATGGTTGCCACTGCACGTGAGAATGAAAAATCTCTTCTCTGTCTGTCTCTCTGTCTCTGCCTGTCTCTCTGTCTCTCTCTCTTTCTCTCTCTCCACCTTATATTATATATATGCTCCATACAAGGTGAGCACATAGCCTTCATATGTATTTGTACTCTTCCTAGTTTACTTTCTTCTTAAAGCCATTCTTGAATTGAATTATCGCTAATATCAACTTCCAAACGCTTCACTATTTTAGAGAGGGAAGAAGAGAAAGAACGAGAAAGATAATAGTAGCACTACAATAATAAATCAACATGAGATACAAAAGCGAAGACACTTTACCTCAAACTCTTTAATGACAGTATCCAGCTGGGAAGATTTAAGGCGAACATCATCCAGCAAAGCCAAATTCCTATCGAACTGCATTATGTAAGTTGTGTGGTGATTAAATCCTGATTCTCTGGAGAGGAAAATATCAGCCACTTTCTGATGTTCTTCCCTAAAACCATTGAGAATAAAGGTGGGGAAAAAAAGGAATAGAAAATTCTCTATACTTAATTTAGGTACTCACAGATAATCTTTTTCATCAGGACTTTTTAATGACATTAATCAGAAATTGAACACATAAAGATTGACTTTTGTTCCAGTAGTAAGTCCATATATCTTGTAATGTGGCAGTTTGATAAAGTCTCAATTGGTTCTGATGCCTGCTAGGCAATGCAGCAAGGAATGGTCGAATACTTGGTATGACTAGGTGGTATGTGTTTCTTTATAAAGCAACAAAGTTAACAAGCAAAATAGTTAAAAAGCTTGTATATTGACTTTATTTTTTTCAGATTTAGTGTGATTCTTGCTCATAGGCATAGAAGGGACCTATATATTTCCTTAAGTTGGAACATTCCTACAAAATGAAACAATAGCTGAATGACAGAATAAATATACCTAGGATTTATTGGAGATGAAACTGCTGTGTTTCAGTAGCTTTCTTGTTTGAGATTAGATGTAGCAATAGCAACAGCACTTAGACTTATATACTGCTTCACAGTGTTTTACAGCCCACTCTAAATGGTTTTACAGAGTCAGCATATTGCCCCCAACAATCTAGGTCCTCATTTTACCCACCTTAGAAGGAGGGAAGGCTGAATCAACCTTGAGCTTGGTGAAATTCAAACTGCCAAATTGCAGTCAGCTGGCAGTCAGTAGAAGTAGTACTGCGTTCTAACCACTATGTCCCCATGGCATAGTGCATGTTTTTCTAACAGGCCTCATATACCAATCAATTTTTATTATGGTCACACACCAGAATTACAAATAAAGTCATTAAAAACAATAATAATAGTAAAAGATAAAAATTAGAGACAGACAAAATAATATTAGGATTGGTGGTGGATTATCAGTGGGCAGTTAAAGTCTGCCTAATTTTGCACACAGCATAACATAATTTGCCCACATTCAGAAAAACTGCTTCATACTGATCGGATAACAAGCATTATGTAAAGGTTTTATATGTTAGGATAAAACAGGTAAATAAGCAAACTGTATCACCCTTATATGTGATTCTCTCAAACTTCTGAAGAGAAGGTGTTTCCTGAAGCTTTTTAAACACAGGGATAGGGATATTGCCTTAAGTGTCATTCAAAGCCCCATCTAATTATATTTACCAGTTAAGAACTTTTTCTTCCAGTTCCCCCAGTATTTCTTGGTGTAGATTGTAGATTTTTGGGATTTCCTTCAGTCCTTCCTTAAGTTTTGTTTCTTCATGATCGCTATTATCACTATCATCTCCCAGCACTTTTAAGACAGCTTCATGGAAATCCTGTAAATATACAATATTATCTGCTTTAAGAATTAACAACTTTTGTCCATATCTTGATCATATGGTGCATTTTAATTAATGCCATTACCTCTTGCTAGCTCACTTTTACTTAGCAAGTCAAGAGAAATTTGGATAACAAACTTTTGATGCATGACAAATTTCTCACACAATTTCTCAAATTAATAGCTTTTGAATTTGAGAAAACAAATGCATTCTTCATAACAGAAGTACATTCATGTAAATGTATCTTACATGAAATTTTAGAATTCAGATAAATGGAACAGATCAGGCAATAATAATTTATTGGCTTCAATCTATTCTTATTATATCATCACTAAAGACAAGCATTTTGCTAAAACCCTCTTTTTTTTCTATAATTGCACTAGTATTATCAATTGCTGAAGCATGAACTACATAAACAGGAGATTTATAAGTATCATGAAATTAGGTTAAATTTTCAATATTTTATTAATTAGTTTCAGAAACCAAACTACCAATCTTGTAAAAATCTAAGTAATGTATCATTAACAAATCAATTGTCAAGCCATTATAAATCATAAAGTGAGATTCTGAATTACAGTAATTTCTTTTCAAGCAATATAGATTTTATGCTAACAGATAACATAAAATCGGATGTACTACAAGCCTATTTATTTATTAATCAAATTTATGTAGCTTCCCTTCTCATGAGAAGTTAGAGTTAAAGTCAAAAACTGGTTTCCAAGTTGAATTAAAATCTGACTCACGTTTTATTTTAAAATATCAGGCTATTTTAGACATAGAGAAATACCCCTAGAGCTTAACTTTTGTTTTTCACAGGATTAAGGATTAAGAGTACTTTTCAATGGGAAGTGTAAAATGTTCTTGCAGCAATTAACAAACACAGAGCTGGTTTAACATTGTAGAAAAGTGTAACAGAAAAATATTTAACAATAACAAAAAATAGCAAGTTGAAAAGGAAACTTTTTTTTACCATTCTTTTACCATTTTCTCTAAGTACAATATTTGGTGTGAATTTAATATTATTTTTCCCTTGCATTCCTATTATTGTATCTAAATTCTGCATCTTTTTGACCATCCTCTTGATAATCTGTTTAGGGTTTCACCAGCAGTTTAGAAATAAGGCCAGTAAATGCTTCAAATTTTGGGCTTTTCAAATTAAATTCAGACACATCTCTTTGTTCTGACAGTTCTTTTAAAGCTATACTTAAAGTCTCAGAAGATTTTTACCTTTCTCTTATTAAGAAATCTTGGTTATGATTTGTTGTTTCACCACTGAATAAATTTCTTTCTGCTTTCCTTTTCATAAAAATAAACAATAAAAAGGCAAGTGATGATAAATCTTTTTCTGTACTTATTCCAAACAATTGGGACAAACATTTACCCCAAACATTTATTATTGCAAGTTCTGTTCCCCTAGTTGAAGAAATCTAACCACATGGTGATTGTAACCCATTTTATAATCCAACCCAAACAATTAGTTTAGTAATATTTAAAATCTGGGACTGCTGGACTGCCTTGTTCTTTTTAATCCTCTAGCATCTGGTATTTATTGCATGGCAATGGTTCATAAAGAGCTTGCCCTGAGTGCAGGCAATCAAGAGTGGGAATGCTCTTCATAGGCAAGAAGCTTCACACAACATATTTGTGGTACTCAATGCTCAACATGACACACTCTAGGGCTGGGAGAAGATCCTGGACCTGTGGTTTTCTCAACTCCTGCCTCCAGCTGCCTTTTATGTTCCCTGGCTTGGTCAGCCTCAGGGGCTTGATTGCTAAACTCCTGCTAGACTGATGTTCATCCTGGGGCCTCCAGAGCCATACTCTCCAGATCTTCCTGGCAGAAATTTCAAGAACAGTGTGAGAGGAAAGAAAATAACTTTCAACAATACTTATTTTGAGGGGTCTGTGGTGCTGTCTGAGCCTGGCTGTTTTCTTGCAGACATTTCATTACACAAACTAGGTAACATCATCAGTGCTAATAAAGAGTTGGATTTGCTCTCATCAATATATTCTAGTGCCTTGTCTTGTCAGTGTTGGTGACATATACCTCTTCTTCCAGTGTATATCACCCTGTTCTTCTGGATCACTATTAATAATAACCTCAGCTTAGTTAGATGGTTTGTAATTACAAATTTGTGCAATTACAATATTTCAAGAGATGAAAGTAGAAGAAAGGACAGTTTGATATAATCATCTCCGCTTACTTTAATCTTTTATTCTAGCTATTATACATTCTGTGTCCCATCAAACCAGAAGTAGTACAGTACATCAATCTTACTGACCAAATAAGAACAGTGTATAAATATGGGTTATTTTTTCATTCACTTTATCTAATGTTTTAATTCGGTATATATGTTTATATTAGAGAAAGGTTAAAAGAGCAAAGAAAATGGTGGTGTGTAAAGAAATAACTACATAGTCCAGAAAACATGAGCTCTTTTTGGTCCCTACAGAAAGTAGATTAGAACAAACAAACAAGAGGAGGAGGGACAATGCAAGCTAAGTGCTTTTAATGATAAAATCTGAGTTAATTCAGCAAGTTTTGCATAGTTCTCCAATTTACATCATCCCACAAGATTTCTACAACCCCCTTATCAAAATCAAGTATCACAGAGAGTATGTGCAGGGTAGAAAGTAGCTGTATATTTCTATCATGCTGGATAAGTAGCCTGCGGAAGAATCCTTGGGTTAATGAAATTCCTCTCATTTCCCTGGAGCAGAACTGCTTGGAGCAGAGTTGAATCAGGCAGCTGGGTATTCCTTTTTTCTGGCCCATGTTATAGCTCTTGGCGGGAAAATTTCTTGTTTGCTGCCAGTTTAATCTTTGTGGGAAGGTAGCTAGAAGTTACTTTGTCTAGGAGAATAACTATACACTGGGGGGAACTGGGAACATATTTTTAAGCTCCCTCATACTCCGGAGTACCATGTGGAATCGCTTAAA